TATCCGTGGCTACACTACTGAAAAAAGAAAAAGGAAAAAAAAAAAAAGGCAACCTCTCTCTAGCATCCATTAACTGCCCCTTGTACCACAATGAATAGTAGGCCCTCATGAGTCCTATGTCCTCCACCCCCATGACCCACTCATGATACCATGGTGATGGGCCCAGCCTCATGAAGGTAAGGACAAATGCAGTAAGTCTGTGAATGCAATCAGCATATCAGAAGCAGGACACTTTCTCAGAACTCCTCTCTGACCTCTGGCTCTCAGATCATCTCCTCTTCCAGATGATCTCTGACCTGGGAGGGGTTAAATCCATATTCCATTTAGGATCAAGCATGTCCTGTCACTCGTTCTTCCTTCTTTGTGAGTCTCTGAATTAACCACAGCAAAACTGAAGCTTCTCTGAGAAAGACTAAGGTCAGCTTTAATCTATGGGTGCAAATATAGCATTGAAAACATTAAGTTCCATTTCCGTGTTTGTTCTGTGCATATGCACATACGTGTGCATGCCCGTGTGCACACGGAATTTCTTTGAGCCCAGATATGCATGTTTATTCCCTTCGGTGCTTAGAGTCAGGGTCATACTCATCAGCCCCTTTCTCAGAGGTCAAAATTAGCTTCTCTGCCTCTCACAACTCACTTCCTTCACTCTTTACCCCGTAGGTATTGTACTTAATTGAGCTACCCTGGACTCTCAGTACCCCACAGCACAGGCAGCTACTCTCTCCCTTGCTCTAGGGAACTGCTGACTTGGGTACCACACCTCTGCAGCAACAATAACAGCAGCCAAAACAGTAGAGGTGCAAACAAGATAGAAGGAAATATCTCTCTTAAGCAAGCATAAGCAGCCACGAACTCCGGAGTGAGAGACCCTAAGTCGTCAGTGTTGTTCCTCTGCTGTCCTGTCGTAGTCCAAGGTAGCAATTCCAGCTTTGGCTAACGAATCCCTATGGTACCCAGGAGACAGGACAGGATTCACCGACACCATTTTCATTCAGTTCTTATTGGGCATAATCTAAGCATAGCCATGTAGATGCTAAAGAGGCTAAGAATGTATTCCTTCTGACCTTGGACATATGCTCAACTAAAACCTCCATCATTTTAGAAGCAGAAAAAAACAGACCTGGTAACTTGAAGATTTTCCTTCTTGTCACAGAAATTCCCAGATGTTAAATTTTTGGCTTAATTCATTTTGCCTCAATGCCCAGAAGCCAGGCACACACAGAAGAGAGGCAAATAAACCAGGCCTTCTTACGTGGAAAAGGTAGGATTGTTTCCAATCAACTGTAGTGATTGAATGGCTTGCTTTGCTAAGAACTACCGTGCCTTTTGATAGTTCTTTTTTAAGCAGTAGTAAGTCACAGGCTGGTTTTGGAGTTGGCACCTCCATCTATTTGGATCATTGAAAACCCTAAGTAATAAAATTCAAGTCTTGAGGCACTTGCAAACAGGGTCTTGTTCATCTAGACCCGGGCAAGGTAGGTAATGATGTTTAGGAAAGGGCCGTGCCCTAGAAGACCACTCCTCCATTTACAAGGCCAAATGTTCTTTAGTAAGAACAGTTTCCTAATTTTTTAAAGCTAAATATCAGTCAAAAGGACACCCCTATTCTTTCCTTCCACAGGAACAGCACCAGTGTGTGCACGCTGCAATCCTTGTGCCTCTCGTTTTATCTGTTGTTTATCCAGTCACTTCCACTGGCTCCTTCAGTTTCCCCTTCGCTCACCCAGGAGTACAAAAGGCACAGGGAGCATGTTTGCTCTTTTGTCCACCCTTCCACTTAATAATATCACCATGCTCTTACTGCTCTCTTTGTTTTATCCTCCCCCAGTCAAATCGTCTCTTCAAGTTATGATTCTTCAGTGCCAAGACATGTCTACCTATCATCCGAGTTCCTTTGAGAAAGGCAGGTTGGCCTCGCCATGGTCAGGGCAGTCCCTTATCCAAACAGCTCTATCTGCTTCTTGCATGTCTCAAGGCCTGTGAGGGTCGGGGAGTCCAAGGCATTTGCACAATGCCTTCTAGAAGCACTAGTAGGAATTTTCCAGGAGGGTTGGGCAGAGGAGTCTCATTCATCCCTCATCTACTACCTATATCCCTGGATCCTTTTATCTCTGCCATCACGGTCTAATTCCTCTTGAACAGTTCACTTTGGATCTCTAATTAATTTATTCAAAGCCTGAAATCTTTTTTTTTCTTTTTTTTTTCCTGGGCAACCTCTACGGCAGTGGTTCTCAGCCTTCTGAATGCTGCTACCCTTTAGTATAGTTCCACAAGTTTTAGTGACCCACCCCAAACACAAAATCATTTTTGTTGCTACTTCATAACTATAATTTTGCTACTGTTACGAATCATAGTGTAATATTTGATATACAGGGTACCTGATATGTGACCCCAAAGGGGTGGAGACCCATGGGTTGAGAACCACCACTCTGAGGATTGCCATCTTTACTATCAACTATTTTTAAGTGCTCTGCCCTATATGTCACACATCAAAGATCCCAGCCTTAACACTGGGCTCCGGAGTGCTAAGTTCAGCTCCAGCTTTTACAACACGATCTTAAGCAGCTGCAAAGGGAAAGAAAACAAGGCTGCCAGGCTAGTCCCAGGAAATCCCAAGATGGGTATTTTTAACATCTGTGTTCTGATTTCCATAAATTTGTATGCTTCACCCAAAAGGCATTGACTCCACTTATATAGAAATAAAAAGACACAACTCTTCCTTATCTGTGGGGGAAAGATCCCATATCCGGTTTGCTGTCTGCAGTGACTCTTCAGGCTTCTTTTTTCTCAAAAAGTGTCCTTGCTTATTCCAGCCACAGCCATTGGAGAAAAGAGTCATTCTTTAGCTGGTTTGTTAGAGTTGGCTCCAGAATATTCTCTTCCTGTTATGAACTCACAGGGAATTCTCTGTCTAGCTGGAATTGTTTTTAAGACCTTACTTTCTCTCCATCAAAGAACGGCTGCTCCTGAATTCAGTTGGGCCAGCTTCTTTCCGGTGTCTGAACGGTCACCCAGGTCTAATTTTCAGTCTTCCACCTACAGGAAAGTTTTTGGTTTGGTTTCGTTTTGTGTTGGTTTGTTGGTTTTGAGGAAGGCAGGCTGGATTCTGAGCAGATTAGCCACCAGTGTCAACAGCCCACATTGAATGTCTTCCCTGGGCTCGTGTTGCTGAAGGCTGAACCCTGTTATGCTTTCAGAGCTATGTCCCCCACCCCGTGCCTGCAGAGCACCAGGTGAGAATTCACTAGAGAAGGTATTAGACCAACTGTATTAGACCCAGAAGCCAGGGCTGTGAGGAAACAGAGGACAAAAATATCCTTTGAGATCCACCTCAACAGAACAGTTTTGGGGAAAACAGAAATCTACCTGCTAACTATACAGCAGGAGAGAAAAGCCTGAGGACTGCAGACAGAAATTATGTCACTGAACCCAGAGTGCCTGTACTGGCCCTCTGATTCCCTTCCAGTTGGTCAGGAGAGCTCTTGAAGTACATGAACTTCTGACCTCATCTTTGAGGGTGGCCTAGCTCCCACTCCACAGGCAAAGTGGTGGTTTATTGAGAGTCTGTGGATGGGAGGAGACAACAAGGAGACAACTAGCCTGGCACCTGAGTGAAGCGGTGAATGCTTAAACAGATGCCAGCACGGTTTGCCACCCCCGAGTGGTGTTTTGTTTGTTGGCTGGTTTCACCTTTGGGAGGAGTGAACTACTTTCACTGAACTGAAGTCAGCAAAGGGGAAGTGCAGACCCTCACTGCACACTGGGCAAACACAGTCTCAGGAAGCTTGGCTCGTTCCCCGCCACGCCTGCTCAGTGTCAGGACTGCTGACAAGACAGGCAGGAGGCCAGCTTCCTCAACCGGATTTCACACGGCAGACACCTCCCAGGGTAGGATGCATAGTGAGGGCAACATTATCAAGAGTCAGACTTGTTCTATTATAAAAACAACTGCAAAAACTGGGTCTGTCCATATGCATCTATGAAAGACTCATTTGAAATTTTTATTTATTTATCTATCTATTTATTTATTTATTTATTCATCTATTTATTTATTTTCCATTCTAAACATTGGATTGTATGTATCCTATAGGTGTATCTCAACAGCTAATGACAGAAAGGCTGTGGGGGACCAGCTCCATCATGCTCCTTGTGTGAAGTTGTGCCTAGAAAATGCAGTAGAGCTCTCTTCACCTTTCTGAAGTGCGTTGCCAGTGTTCCGGTTTCTCCAGATGAGCCCTTTGGAGATGTGGTTTCTGCATACTTACCCTTTAGCTTTTCCTCCCTTCCAGTCAACCCATTTTTATAACCCATCCAATACTTGGACAGACAGAGAACAAGACAGGTTCTAGAAACACTTGCTTTGTGGATTTGTGTTAGGGCATTTCACCTCTCTGGCAGCCCCATAAAGCAGGCTATTTGATGTCCCTTTTAACAGGGAACCTGTTCAAAATATAGAGCTAGTAGAGGCCAGAGCTTGGGTTTGAACCCAACCAGTATAACTCTAGGAAGCCTCTGCTCTTCCCATTACAGCCTGGAGGGGTCTGATTCCAGGTCCAGAAGAGCAGCAGGTATGACACACTCAGCTTTTAGAGGCAACATCTTTATGCTACAAAATGGCTTAAATAACATACATTTTAAAACAAAGAACTGTGTTGGAACATCACACAGAGATGTGGTGTCTCAAAGTGTACCCTCATCCTTTGACAGCTCCTGGTGGGCAGGGACACTCAGGGGACTGAAAGAGGTGGGGAGGCTTCATTGGGATGGAAGGCGAGACAGATGCTGAGGCCATCGGTGCTCCCAGAAATGTTTGTCGGGCTCAACATTTTGCCAATGGCAAGTTTCACTAGTGTCAACCAAAGAGTTCAAGTTCAGAATTTTTAACAACTACACTTATAAGATGGACTTGATAACTTTTCCCAATACCTCAAGACCAAAAGAAATGAGGCCATTTTGCTCAGAACACACCATTCAACAGGACAGGGAAACATCCTTACTTTGCCTCCTGGCTTCTCAATGAGAGGGCTGGAAAGGCACACGGTAGCGAGGCTGCAGTCCACAGGCTTCCATGGCTGTTCCTGCAGCAGAGAAGACAAAGAAGAGATGTCAGGCTCTGGAGGCTTCCCTGCAGAGTGGAGCCCTTTCCCTGCTACTCAGAACTGTGCCTCTAGCACTGAACGTAATGGGTGGCATTGAAGTACCTGAGCCAGCATTTTCACAGGGCTGCTTCAGGCTGCACCCTGTGCAAACCCTTTTAACCTTGCACGGGGACACGTTACAAAACCACTTACCACATGTCGGAAGAATTCAGAGATATGTGTTGACAGAAATTCAGAATATTCCTGCTTTATCTGTTTCAGGGGTCTTTCTGGGACATAGGTAGGAGTATAAGACTCTAATCTCATCGCCTAGAAAACAGCACTCGGAAACCTCTGAGTTTCGACTTCGGTGTGGCAGGATTTTCCAAGTCCTTGACTCACTTGCTCAGAGCCCTCACTAGCTTTTTTAGCCTCAGCTCCAAGTCTCTCCAACAATTATCCTAAACCTCAAGCCAGGCTGTTCAATGTGACTGTCACCAATGTCTTTGTGCTACTCCTGGTTCTTAATACGTTTTCTTGAGTATCTCTCTGGGAATTTCCACTCATCCTGCTCAAACTCCTGAGGAAACACTTGGCTGCTACACAGTACAGCGGAATAGGTTCCCCTACCGGAGGTCCTCTGGGAATGTGTGCTATTGAGGACCAGACGTAAAGTCTTGCTTTTCCTGTGTCTTTCACTGTCTAGCACTGGCCCTTCCACAGGTGCTCTTTCTCCTCCTAGATAAACTTTCCTTTGATCAACTGAGACTTTTCATGTCTAATGTCCACAATATCCTAGTAGATCTAGCTGCTGTTTATAATCCAAACTACACATATTTCTCACTACACATATTTAGAACCCTCTCTTGGTCTTGTTAGAAGGGACATCGAGAAAAAAAAAAAAGAGCTAAACATATCAGCACACCCCATAAAATAAAAATGAACTTTAATAATAAATCAGCAAATATTGACACATCTCCGCCCCCTGCTGTTCCTTAATTGGCTGTATTCCTTGAGGTAAAGGAAGATTTTTTTTTTTTCCAGTGGTTTGGAATCTCTCTTCATGCTGCTACTAATTAGCTGCCCTTCACCATACCAGGGCAGAGAACATGCTCCCAACCAGGGTGGCCCTGCCTGTAAATATGGTTTGTGTTATTTACACACATCTCACAGAGTATTTTGAGACTAATTGTATAGATTTCCACTGCCCAGAAAAGGCAAAGCGTAATTGCTTGGAAGGAAGCCCTACAATTTCCCCTCAAGAGAAATCATGCCAAACTCCAACTTCAGGGGTTGGAGAGAGGGGTGATACTTGGATTCTGAAGGAGGTGGCTTGCTGTCCATTAGGAATTAAGTGGAGACCAGCAACTCATTTCACAGGTCATGACCCAACCATCAAAGTGTAATTACTGTCAAACCCCACTGGCTCAAGTCTGGACCACACTATTGGTGAATGTATGAATGAAAGTTCTATAGGATCACATTACCACTTCCACTTCCCAGGGATAAAAAATTAAAAAAAAAAAAAAAGACATTGAAAAGGGAAAAAGGTGCAAGTGTATCAACTTCAGGCTGAAACTGTTGTTATTATTATTATTCTTTTTAATGATAATAACACTTGCAGTGTTGATGATTGGGCTTGGAAGAGGTCAATCTGTTGGAAGCAGTAGATGAACCTGAAGAACCCCACCCTTCAGTCTGAGGCTGGTCCAGTTGCTATAGCAACGTGGAACCAGCTTTCTCAGGGGCTTGAGCAGCCTGGCTTTCTGCGGGCCAAACATTCCCATGATACCTTTGCACTAGGTGCACTTGAGACTAAGACAGCAGAGCATTTGCAAAACACAGACTTCTTGCCTATAAATTGTTTGTTTGGTGGGTTCATATGATTCAAGGTTACATGAGTTCATATACAAAATGTGTGTTAGTGACGGGCCTGTAATGATTAAAAGGCTTTCCCTTTTCTCGTTCTCTGCTCTCATTTCAGGCTTTTGTCACAGTGTTTGGCGTTCCGTTGTCTTTTCAGAGCAAGGGCCTAGACAGCTGGTGTTAACAGTTGTCTCCCCTAACTCACCACTTGCTGAAGAGAAGAGTGTGAGTGAGTGCTCAGGATGGATGGAATAAAGAGGGAAACACAGAAACACTGAACCCCTCCCTGCCCAGGCAAATTGACTACCTTCCCAGAATCCTGCCAAGTGAAAGCAATTATCACCTCTTATCTTCCCAGGATAAATTCAGAGCACTCCTGGGGAGCAAAAGTCAACAATCCCCAAGGGCATGGTGGAGCTACCTGCTGTCACTTTCTGACTGGACTTCTCAGGAAGAACAAAGCATCAAAGAGCTTCTGTTTGTAGAAAAGGAGAGAAGTAGCCTGGGTTTTGAAGGACAGGGATCATCAGGTGGGCCTTCCTAGCTGAGTGAACAGGGAAATCTGTCCAGGCACATTTGCTTAAGAGTTGACACTAGGGAGTTAAAGGATCTGAATAAACGTCACCCTGAAATCAGAACCTTATTTTTGTACTCTGTTTAAGACATGGCTATTTAAGCCCATCAGCTCTCCCACCTGCTTATCCACACCTTCAGGCTAGCTAGGAGCGCTATAGCCTATTTTGCTAAAGAAGCAAATTCTATCCAGTTAATTACTACCGTTCATTCCTCTAACCTCACCCTGATGCTTTTGTTTTTCAAGCAGGGGCAGGCAAAGTGGTACCCTGTAGAGGCAGAGTATCAGTGTCCCTAAAGAACGGCTCAGAGAACACTGTAGTCACCCCTCTCGCTGCTCCAGAGCCATGTGCTGTTCCTGGTACCTAGGAGAAAGCTGTGACATTTCCAACACCCTGTGTAAAAAGAGCAGGGAGACAGTACCTGAATCCAGATGCAAAACAGATAACTGCCACTGTCCAGTCTGAGGCTCTATCTGCCTCTCCCTCAAACTTTGGACCTGCCCCACCCATGCCAGCTGCAGTCACTTCCTTGGAAGGGGTCAAGCACACAGACACAGTGAGGTGTCTTTGGGAAGGGAGAGAGTGGGGTGGAGTGAAGCTATATGCTGAATCACCAGGGCTGGACTAGACTCCCTCCCTTTTGTAGCACATGGATACAGTCTGGCTGAACTTGAGTGAACTGAGCTTGCTGCTACCCTCGCCTCCTCCTCCCTCTTTGGTTATTATTATCACAGGCTTCTGAGCAGATGGGGGGGGGTCAGCTGGGGGAGCATCCTTTTAGGTTTCCCAGGCAGAGTCCTGTCAAACCAGTTTGTGCATTTTTCTGTATCTCCCATAGTCCTCATTTCTCTGAAATGGAAAGCTACTTTTTTTTTTTTGCACATAAATTTCCATTTCCTGGGTGTTTTACACTGAATTTTGAAAGCGCCTTGTCCTGCTACCATACTTGGTAGATTTTTTTTAACACCGGTACATACCACAAAGCTATGTCATGTAGAACATTAAAGTAGGTGCTGCTGAGAGCCCTCCTTAACAGGGCTTTCTCCCTGTGTGAGCTTCCTGTCAGCCTTGCTCCAAAGGCATGTGCCCACTGCCCAGAGCACACTGCACTGAAGCAGATCCTTGTACCTCCTTCCCATCCTGTGTTCCGATTTCCAGCATTGTCATGTAGTCTGGATTGTTAGAAGGTGGTAACTATTGAATGCCCTTTGAATTGCTGGCCCTGCAGAACCAAAGCTTCAGGATCTCCATGACACAGGGCAAGAACAGGCTATTTGAGAGGAGTCCCAGTGAGGATATAGTATTGATGGCGTAGCAGGATCCAGAGGCCTCAAACTAGACCAATGACTCACTGCAATGAACATTTGCAAGTAAAGCTGTTTGGGCAAAAGGGTATGCTGTGTGACACACCATGACACACCCCAGCTTCTATGTTTTGTTTTGTTTTGTTTTGGAGGTTGCAAGGGTGGAGGGCAGATATGGAGGGGTGGAAAGGTGAGTGGGATTGGGGTGGACACTGTGAAATTCACAAAGAAAAAAGTTTGAAAAATAATGAAGGCTGTGAGGCATCCTTTTTTTAAAAATCATTTCCTCTGTAAGTAAAACTCTTTTTCTCTTGTGTTTTGAACCATTTCTTTAGGCTGTATTTCCAAAAGTGGAACTCCTGGGCCAAAGACATAAACATGTCTCTTACTATTTACTATTAGTTGATAATGTTTTAAAAAGGGTTTGATTTACAGAGCTGTCTCTAATATATAGCATATATAAGGGGGTCTATGTATATATCTATTACAATACATTATATATATATAATGTATATATATACATATATACATACATATATACATACATTATATATAATGTATATATATACATACATTATATATAATGTATGTATATATCTATAATCTCTTTTTTTTAATATCAAAACCACAAAAAAATGCCATAATTATTCTCACATTTATACATGAAGACACTTAGGGCCACAGAGGTTAAGTTACTCAGTGTCAGATGACCAATGTCCCTTTTTATGGCTTCATTGCTTTCAAGGGCTTACCATGCCCAGTATGTCCCCAGTTTCAATGAGTAATTTCTGACTATGTCTCTATCTTGTCACTGTCTTAGCTTGTGCCACAGTGGAAATGTGATGAGGATGGAAACATGAGGCCAAATTCCACTCCAATGAGTGGTTGAACCTTGCCTGAGCCTTAGTTTCCCTACATGTAAAATGGTACAGACAACACACACAGCCTTATTTGGAGGATTTAAACCAAAACTCAGCTTAGCAAGTAAACCAACACCCAAGCAAAGCTGCTACTACCTTTCATGCTAATGAAAGATGCTTTGTTGTGACTCCCCCTCGGCATCTTTTCGGATTTTTTTTTCCATTTTTTAAATTAATTAATTCAATTTACATCTCTGTCATAGGCCCCTCCCTCCTCTCCTCCCAGCCCCACCTTCCATCCCACATCCCCTCCCCTATTCCTCAGACACCCCAGCTCATGAGGATTGAGTTCGGCTTCCTCCCTTGTGGCCTGATAGGAAAGTCCCATTGGGGGA